TCAGCCTCTGCATAAAACCCTGGTCTCAAGTTTCAAATGAAAAGCTACAAAAGTGACAGGTTTACAAGCCACCATTTAGTATATTGCACAAGGTGATTCTACTATCACATCTTTAAATGAACCCCTTTGTGTGTGATTTTTCAGCTGAACCCTATCGAGCACTTCTTTCATAAGATACTGTCTACAACTTAGAACTGTGCTGACATCCATGTAACTATTTTTGCGTGACTGTTGAAATAAAGATGACTGAACACTACTTTCAAATGCTTCCCTAAGCTATACATACAAATTTGTTTTTCTTTCATATCTGACATTGATACCTTAAACTACGACAAGGCAAATCACTGATTTTAATCAGTAATTTGTTAAAACACCTAGATTCCATTTTGCCTTGTGTTTGTTCAGATATAGATCTCAGATGACATCAAAATGACTTGTGGTAAGAACAAAAAAGTAGCAAGGAGGCACAGCTATGTATGTTAATGATGTTCTTACCACAATTTGACTTCTGCTGTGATCTATTACTGAACAGACCTGGGGCAAAATGGAATCTAAATGTTTAACAGTAATTTGGAATCTGTTTGCTACATATAGTAAAAAATGCAAAATAGTGTTCATGGTGACATCATATATGCATTATTCATTATTATAATATAGTACTAACATAGAGTTTGTAACTCTGTGGAGTCTGAGATTTGCCTCAAATTTATGTCTTGTTCACAATTACCTCAGGAATAGAGAAGAGGGCAGACTGGGCAAGATCAGGTTCACATTGATGAAGATAAAGCACAGCTCGCACCACGTTATCCAATGGTGATAAGCTAAATTAACAACAAGCCATCATGAACTTAATTATTAAACGAATTAATCCTCTTCCTTAATTAAACACAATTACATCACTCTTAACTCATTAACTCATTATGTACATTTTAAAAATTTATTATTGTTTTTTAAATTTCTTGAATGTTTAATTTATAAGACCTTTGGTGATTTTTTTACAACATAAACACTGAAAGAGAAACCCTCTTTAAATAAGGGTATCTACCATATATCTGTCTGACTTATGATATAGAAATGAAAAGGAAAATAAAAGAAGTCCATTAGGAGATAAGATATACCACAGGAACACCAACCTGTAAGCACAACCCTTCTCAGTTTTAGTTTTCTTCACATCTTCCAAGGCAGCTAGTGCTGTCTCTAAATGAGACAAACTTATATCATTAATTTTAAACATGGCTGAATCTTGCATCAACCACTCCTAAAGTTAAATAGGTCTGTAATAAATTCTTTTCTCCTTAGGACAAAGATGACCCATGTGACCAACTTGACAGCATAGGGCATTGGATGAAAGAGGAAGCCGGAAAGGTCAGCTTAATGATTGATAGCACAATAGCAGAGAACAACCTGGGTTCTGGTTGTGTAAGACGTAAGGGGTGACTGATATGCAGTATAACACAACTTGAATCTCAAGACAACAGACACAAAAGGCTCTGTTTTCTCCCCATCAATTCTGTAACCTAAAAAAGATGGACCAAGTAGGAATAATGATGAAGAAAAATGAACAAAGCAAGGTGATCTGTAAGTAAATATTGCATTCACTCTCTCCTTTTGGTGATAAAGTAATTTTTTTGGATATTTTCCACTTAGTAAGAGTCTTAAAAGGCAAAAATTAATAGTAAACTTTGCATATGATTAGTTAATTATTATGAAAAACAAATTAATCTAATAAACAATTTTCTCTAACCAACCTGATGAAAACCCACTAAGAGATGACATCAGGATAATCTCTGCTACTCGACCTGGTTTACATCTGGCATAGAGCTTGAAAATTTTTTTGGTAATACTCTGAAGAAAAAATAAAATAAAAGAATTCTTTGATAACCCTTTACACCTTAACATCAGTATGTAAGTTCTCAATACTGTTCTCTATACACTTCCTATAGTACCTACAAGGGAGAATTTGGGTAACAATCCAGAGCTTATTTAGTTGGTGATCATTTCTTTAATTCTCAAAACCTTGATGTGTGTTTAAGGGGTGATGTTGAATGGAGAAATTAGTTTCAAGTCATTCTTTGAGGTTGAAGGGCTAAGGCTTGCAATTTAAGAAATCCCTCCTTTATCACTTAATAATCACATAAACAACACAACCCAATGAAAGCACAGACCACCACATTCATATTTGTACACAAACGCACCAACCATTGGTCACTAACATTGTGCACATCAAGACAATGACAAAGACATATATTTCATTCATCAACTGGGCCTAATTATATGACCCTCACCTCTGACACATTAACTTGTTTGTCTGACCCAAATAAATTTTCATCCAAGAAATGGATCAAGCCATCTGCTACAGGCTCTTCAGATTTATAAGCTTTGTCAACAATGTCTCGCAGCGTTAGACCAGACATTGCAAAGTAGTCTATACTATCCTTAGAGGCATCAGGGATTCTGGAAAATCAATAACTTTATTCAATCATATTATTATGCTACATCACATTGTACAGATATCTACAATTGAATGGCAAATTTATGAATGAAATCCTATGTTTGAACAAAATTTTGCCTTATAAAATCTCATGGCCACTTGATTAAGGGTTGTGACAGAGAAGCTTAATACATGCCAGAAACCTCTATTTGTTCTATGTAAATAACGTTGTTGAAAATTGAGCCCTCATTAAACTAACCTTAAAAACACCTCAGTCAAATTTGCTGCAGACTTGCAGAGTAGCTTCTTAAGCTTCTTTTTGTTCTTGTCATCTTTGGAACCCGAATCTGCCAAGCAAAGTGTTCTTAGGAAAAAGTGTTGCTCGCAAATGAGATGATGAAATGCCTGTGCATTGTGCTTCTGACAACGATTTGCCAATGGCATCTGAAGAGGAAAAGAATCCTATTAATAAGTTCTAATACTCCAAGATAACTGGACATGTAAATGGAAAAAAATTTTTGTAATGATGCTGATACAGGGAAGAGTTGTAGCCTGAAAAGTCCATGTTTGACCCATATGAGTGACTAGCATCTAATTCTCCTTTCAATTTCATCCCTGAATCACATATTAAGGTCACCAGAATAAAGGAAATGATCACCAACCAAAGCAGCTCTTGATTGTGACACAAATTCTCCTTGTCAGCACCTTAAATATACTGAGAAAAGTAAGGAGAAAATGGATAGTGCCATAAAGCATTGGATTTTACCCTTTACCTCCCATGAATGACCAAGAAAGACTTTCTCCTTACAATATCAAGCATAGAAGTAATGAAAATAAAGAAAAATATCAATTAAGGGGTTAAATGTTGATCCAATACCAAATTCTCCAAACTGACATCATAACGATTGTATGGAAGACAGCAGAGAAAATTACTAATGAGATTTTGGGAGTTGAAGGGCTGAGATTTTGTGATCCACAGAAATAAGTTTATGAAAAAGTGCAACATACCACTGCCTTGTAAAGCTGTGTGGGGTCCATGTTCTGGAGGACATATACCATCCAGTCAGGGTTTTTACTTTCTCTCTGTTCAGTCTGAGGCCTTGATGGTTTGTTCTTGAAACTAACAAATTTAATTTTGCACTAGGATTATGATGAAGATCAACTTCAATGTTTGCTAAATATTTTGTACTCATCGCTTCTATGAAAAGTTGCTCTACTTAACCCCACCGAGCGGACACTCATTTCAGAACACACACTACATCTCAGCTCAGTTATACCATATATTGCTTAATGCATGAGAGTACTCTAAATAACATCTATTTCAATCTGTTTTAAGACTGTCACTACTCAGTTCATAAGGTCTCTTAAATCTTTTTATATGGACTTTGTAAGTGTACATCTGCTGTCTATCTTCCTGTTTGAACCCAGTTGGATAAATTCTGTCCCTCTTTATGCCCATCAGGACCTTGTCTCATTTATCTGTCCTAGGAAATTGTCAATCTATTTGTTCATCTTCAAATTGTTTGTCTGTCTGTCTGTCAGTATTGTGTGCCCATCTGTCATCTCTCTATGTATTAACCCACCTAGCTGTCTCTCTCTATGTCTGTCACTGGATTGCCACCTGTCTATCTATCGGACTGTCTGCTGGTCTGTCTGTCTGTCAGCCAGTCAGTCTGTCTGTCTGTTGGTTTGTCTTTCTCTTTGCCTGTTTTCCTGTTGGCTTTGCAAATTGGCTTAAAGCAGGGCCCTCTGCTGCTCTGTGCAAATGTTGGTTTGTTTATCATCTCTGTTTATCCACCTGCTTCCCTATCTTTCTTCACATGCTCCACAAGGACTGCCATCTGCCTTTCTGTCTGTCTATTTGTTAACTGTTATTTAAAACTGCCATTAAATGGACTCTATGTTTGCCTGTCTCTGCATTTGCAATTCTCATAAATTATCTCAATCAGTCTTAGAGAAATGGACTAATATATCAGAGTTCTGTACCTCTTGCTTCTTTGCAAGTGGTCATGTGCAGATTTTGAGAACAAAACAACATTTCCTTCACTAGCAGACACATAGTGACATCCAATAAATGGATACATGCCAATCAAACAGACGTCTAGATTTGGCTGAGGACAGCGCTGTATGGAAAAAAAAAATTATGAAATATAAATATTACCCAAAGACTAACTCAAACCTCTCTTCTGAACTAGCTGCATAAGCAGGGCCAGGAGGCATTCTAGCTGGTAATTATAAACAGAAATACCCAGTAGTCAGTTACCAACAATTTTAGTAAGTGGGAGACACCATTCTTACATGGATTGGACAATGGATTCCAGATCAAAAAGGTTCACGGTCAAGTCCTGGATAGATCAAAATTACAGTATCTAGGGTGAAAAAAATTGGGGACTTAGACAAGCAGCTGCTTAATCTGGTGCCCCTCAATACAGATTTCATTGTATTTTTTTCAAGCAATAGAAACCGGTAAAACTCTGACATTAACAATGAATTGCTATATTTGTAATGCTTGGTTACTAAATTTTCCATACACAATCATACCTGTCTCAGGCTTTTTAGGTCAAAGACTGGTAATGGCCATCCATTGTTGCTGGAGAGTTTAATAACAGCAGCTTGATAAACAGCATCACTCACTTTAGCTCCAGTGCTGGTATAACGATTCATTGAACTGCTAATTGTAAACGTTCTTGTGCACTTGATCTCAGTGTCATACTCACCATCTGTACCATCACTGCTATGTTCACTCTCTTCAAACTGTTTCATATCACCTGTCATTGCTCCTCTATGCATAGATGTTTCACTTCTCGATGTAAACCTCACAAGTGTACGGCCAGAGTTATCAACAATCCATTTGATATCTGGTGGTGATGGTTTTGCCTCCTTGTAACCTGCAGGAGGGGCTTCATCTCCACACAGTTTTGTACTTTTATTAGATGAAGCAGTGTCTGTGGCATCTGGGTTGTCAGCACAGGAAATGGTGGGGGTAAATGCAGTTGCTGTAGATGGCATGTTTTCTGTGACACAAGGCTCACAATAGTCTTGTTCAACACTTTCTTTGAGTTCTTGATTGACCTCAACTGTTTCAAGCAACTCTTCACTTCTTGTGCACCCAGGAGCTGAGGTTAAACTTGATCTACTTTCAACTACCAAATCTTCAGCATCTCTTCTCTCCAGATCTTCATCAGACTTCTTTTTGTCATCAAAAACCTCCCCAAAATTTTCTTCTTGTCCCCCAAAATTGCTCACTACACTTTGCTCCTCACCTTGGTGCTCGTCAACTTGAACATCTTCAGCAGCATGCTTTCTGATCCAATCAGATGCAGCTGCATATATGCGCACAGTGTAAGTTTCAATTCCCTGTCTGGTTATTGCATGAAGCAGACCATTAAAGACGGAAACACTGACTGTATCAATGGTGTACTTGTAATAAGACAGAAGGTTACAAGTATCAAACACATCATACATGAAGCCTTCTTTAGGGCCAGAGATGAGGCAACACATACCACACAAAGTAGGGTCAAAGAGAGTCCTTGCAACTAAGGGAGATCTTTGCATCTCTTTCACATGAGATATTCCTAAAAAGATAAAAACCAAAATACAAAGTTATCATTCACTTTAACACATACTAGCACAAGAAAAAAGAGGCTCATTTTTCCAAAAGTAGCCTTTTCCCAACCTTCAATTGTTTAATGGTTGCCATAAGGAAAATTTTGGTCACCGAAAAAAATAGCCTTGTATCAATGGGAGGACACTTCATGTAAGTTCACAGTCCCTTGCCAATTTCTAAGATTGTAATGACAAGCAAGAGAAAGAGGACGAAGAGACCAATGTCTGGTAGCAACAATTCATTATGAAGTTGCTTAGACTCAGGTTAGAGGATTCAACAAATTGGCCTGGTTATTTACATGAGTTCTAACCCAAACCACTATGGGCCTCATGGATTCCTGTAAGAGGGTTGATTAACTGGATAAATGTCCTTCTACTCTTAGCTTTGGGCCCTCCTGACACTGTTCACAAAAACAAATGTTCAGATAAATGGTTTGGCTAAATTGAAGATGGCTTAATTTTTGTTTAAATAACCTGCCCATTAGGTTTAAAATGATTTCTATCTGGGAGTTGTGCAACAGAACAGGAATTGCTGATCAAAAGCATGGCAGACATAAAGTTAACAACTAGCCTATGATCCTTTTCATAATTCTTGAAACACTCTCTCCCCAGAAATCTCCCTTTCCCCCTTTAACCTTTTACACCTTAACATCAGTATTCATATTCTCCATACTGTTCTCTGTACATTTACTAAGGTGCTGACAAGGAGAATTTGTCTAACAATCAGGAGTTTCCTTAGCTGGTGATCATTTCCTTTATTCTCATGACATTAATGTGTGATTCAGTGGTGACATTGAGAGGAGAAATTAGATGCTAGTCACTCTTAGGGATTAAAGGTTAAATTTTTTGTTGTAGAAAAATTACAGTGTCTGTATTGACCTATGCTGATCCCGTATTTCGAAGAGTGCTTTAGAGGGATTAGATAATTTATCCTACCTTGTGTATAAGTTGGAAGAAGTTGTAATGTGTGAAGTGTAGCAGAATCATTGCCTTCATTACTAAGTTGCTCCACTCTAAATCTGCGATACAGCATTGTAACTCCTTTCACTCTTAGCATACACCCATCCACAGCAAAACCAATTCCATAGAGACCTCCAAATGCAACAGTCACAGGATGCCCAGGTACCTCTGACACAGGTCCTAAGATTTCCTTGGGATCTGGTAAGAAGTCTTTGTAAACCTTTTTCTTTCTCAACAACGGAAACACAACTTCCTCATCTGATTTCACAGCTAGTGGTTTATTTGAAGACAATAATGGTGAGCAATCATCAAAGGACCACAAAACACAGTTGTCAGCTTTTGGTTCTCTTTTGGTTTGTTGTGTCGGGTGGAGCATGGATTCAAAGTCCAACAGGGATGTTGTGGCCCTATGAGCAAAATATAACTTTCAATGATAGCTTCATGTTAGGTACTTATTGACTTAGAGGGAGGACCTGACAGGAAAATATTTGGTTCAAGGTAATGAGAGACCGACCAAGTGCAGAGAGGTCCATGCATTATCACTGAGAGCAAAATGTTTTCTCATTTGCATGATTTTCAATGCTTAGGGTTAGGTTTAGGGTTACAGTGATGGTGAGAGTGACAGTCTGTATTCCTTTTTCCAACTTTGCTCACATCATTGTAACTTGCAAACAGGTAAAGCCCTTATACAAAGATTTTTGTCTTGTCTCTATTAACTTAGAGAGAGCAAGATGGATAGGCTTTATGATAAAGCCTCTTATCACACTCTTCATCAGGCTTGTGGCACCAGTTGCTGAAGCTTATCAAAAAGGCTTCTTAATCATAATAAGAATTTGTTTTGCTCATTGAGTCAGACATGCCAGTTCATCAAAAGAAACTACCCCACCTCTCCCCAACCAAAAAGGAACCCACTCTAACACTAACAACTTCCAATGTAGTGCCAAATTTCTTCAAGTCGTTCCTTGGTAATCCATTAATAATATTTAGATCATAGATCTTATCACACCCATCTTAAAATATAATTTTAAGGTTAAAAAAAGCTCAGGGGGAGAAAATGATCCTATCTTGGCCAGGATACTACCCTCCCTTCATCATTTGGAGAAGGAGGGAGGAGGAGGGGTTCCCTCAAACGGTTGGATCAACAGCTCTTTGCTATGCTATACTTATTCAGCAGAGTTGTTCCTGGACTTGAACTTTTCCCACTTCTGCTTGACGACACAGAATCTTGATCAGCTGTAAACACAAGCTTGAGGACTTGAACATCTAGATTTGACCTCACAGCTAGGTAGCAGTCACTTAGAACAACTTCTTTTACAATCATGCTTGGTTCAATGTCAAGGAAATGTTCCATATCATGATACATTGCAGTGACATCTGTGCCGCCAGACGTAAGGTTACCACTCCATCTGAACAAACTCACTTTTTTCACGCTTGCAATAGCAACGTTACCACTTGTTGGGCAGCAACAAATAGCTGTGACATTAACCTGGGTGGGAATCTCCAAAGCCAGGAAATCCTTGCACTTTCCCTCCGATTCCTGCCTTTGATAATGAGAATGTCCCGCTGCATAAGTACGCACCGCCTCGTCAGGATTTGCCTTGAACCAGTTAAAGTAAGCGCGAGAGTGAGTTTGAACGCTCACTACTTTACTGCCAGCGTTTTTTCTTCGGCTTGTTCTCTCAATTGTCAAAACGCACTTGGCTTTCTCGTTGCAAATCAACTTGACAGGTTTTGACATGATCGGAAACTCACAGAATAGAGGAAAGTTCGGTTGCTCGAGTGAGTAAACAAACACCTTCATTTCTCCAGTACCAAGGAAAAGATAATCTTTCGTAGAGGCAAAAGAGGTAGGTTGAAGAGAATCGGAGAACGTACGTTGCGATTTGAAGTAATGGAATAGAAGTACTCGCACCATTTTCAAAAGATACGCGTTTACGGCAATGACGAATCGATAAATTGGTCCTCAAACTCTTTGGCAGGGGAGGGGGGGAAGCGTACCTCTTTACGTCTGTAGAATAACTGATTAATCCCTGCTTCGTCCCGATAACATTAATCATTTCAGGTTGGGGATCTTCCACCTATCCGCCATATTTTCCATGATCATTTTAAACTAACGCGCGGAAACTGGTAACAACACTTCCTTACACCATAGGGCACCGATAGGGCATGAATTATTACCTCTTATTTTTTACCGTATTCTCAGAAATTAGAAACTGTTTGTCTTTATATCAGTCTTGTGGATTCAATATGTGTGAGGATTGAGTTTTAGATTTATTTTCCCTTCAAAAAAAATGTTATTTGTCTCCCCTGAATTGCGCTTTAAGAGTAGTATTTTTTCGTCATGTAAGCCTAATGTATGTTTCTCCATTAATACTTAGCCTCGTGGACGAAGTAAAAACGGAACACCGTCACATCTCTAAGTGAGTCAATCTTTTCATTCCTGAGGTTTAGATACGTAGAACGGTACAAATAAGCTGGAATGGCTGATGATTTTAAAGTTAGAACGCACAATTTAGCTCAACAGGAAAAAGATCAATGCTTAAATTTTGCACGAGTGTTCCTCTGCATGCTGATAAGAGCACAAAGAGATCATGTCTCTCTCTGAGTACTGTACGCATCTGCAGAATGACTTAGGGAGATTTTGTTTAAGAATCTCTTAAGAATACCAACTGTTGGGTCCTTTGTAATTCAATGACTCTGAACCACAAATATTCCAACTTTTATAGTACCCATGTCATATCTGACTACTATAAATATTTGAAAAAATCTTTACAATAATTTATGCCAGTTTCTGTTCATTCCATGCCATTTAACTTTGCTCTTTATTTTTTCCAGGATTGTAGGACTAGAAAATTTTGGAATATCCACTGCATATAAGATCTGGATCTATGTCCACTGAAAATGGCAAATACGTAGCTGATGATAATGGTCGCTTAGACAAACGTAAAGCTGTGAAGGGATTTGCAGAGTTCTGCTGCTCCCCTGTCCAAAATAAAGATACATGGCAGGAATCTGCAGAAAACTACAAAGTCAGAAACACCAAACTTGAGTACACTTACCCTGTAAGAAATAGTAACACAAATTAATTTTTGCTATATATGTGGATGGTCCATGATAAAGAAAAATTAATTACTGCAAATAAGAATTTCACAAAAGCAAACTCTGCAAAAACTACTACCTAACCGTCACTTTCTGTGAATGAAATACTGTACTCTGCTTGAGAATTTAGTAACAATTTATATTTTTTTCAGATAGCATTCTTCTGACAAATAAATTTGTCATGTCAATCTCTTATCAAATATTTCTTCTGGCAGTTAAAACTACTTGTACCAGGTTGTGCATCTTCTATACCAAGCAGTCAGTGGCTGTATGTAATCACATTTGGCGGTGGGCTTGTGGAGGGAGACAATGTGTCCCTTGATGTCAAGGTTGGGGAGCACTGTACAGTGGTTGTGACCACTCAGGCCTCAACAAAGGTAAGCAAGGTTGTTATTTTACCCTTTAACTCTCAAGATCCAATTGTCAATTTTACCATCTAGCCACTGCACATTTCCTTGTAAGTTAATTGCAAGATTTGGTGTTCAATCAAGGTAATAACTTGTACCTGATGAGTTTAAGTATTCTCACTTCCTGTTTGCTGTATAATGTATAAATACTTTAAGGAGAAGTTACATGATAATCCCTTCTGGTAGTTAAAGTGTTAAAGAAGCCAGTAGTTGGCCAAAACCTGATGATTGTCATGCCATTTTGCACTGGCTACTTTGCAAATTGTGATCAAAGACAGAAAATAAGTATTTTTGAACTGATTCTAAGCATCAATGTCTGGCTAAAGAAGTTAACCAAGTATGGCCTAAAATGGACCATATTTCATGTCTCAAAGAATTTTTTATTTCAAAATTTACTTGGTGAGCTTGCCATCAGACCCCCTTGATAAGGGTTGTTGAATTGAATTGAATTCTGCTCTTCCAGCAGAATTCAGTTCAGCAGCCTACTCAGTTCAGAGTGCTCATCTATTACATTTTCCAGTGACGGTCAGTAGCCTAGTCTTTTACTGCAAGGGTTCAACACTCCAGACTTTCTTGAAGGGAAGGTGCAAATTTTTTATGAGCTTGATTACTTGTTTTTGCCTATGCTCACTTTAATACCCAGGGCCCAGTTGTTCAAAGGCCAATTAACCCCAACCCAATGTTAACTTTCAGTTCAGGTTTCTTTATTCCTTTGTTCAAAGGCCTTTTCTCTATTATTTATAACTCATCTAGTCATAAAATTGTTGGCAAAAAGAATTCTACAGAATTTTCTTTTAAAGCTTTCAGATCTGAAATCAGATTTCACGCTAACCCTGGGTTATCTTAACCCATCTTTGAACCTGCCCAGGTTTATCACTCAGAAGAGGGTTTAGTTACACAACAGGGTTTGCGAGGTTTGGTTGCTGATGGAGGGTTGCTTGCAGTTCTTCCTGATCCTGTGGTCTGCTTCAAGAATGCCATCTACAGCCAGAAACAGGCGAGTTTTAGATCAGTCCAAAAAAAATGCTTGTTTTGAACCAAGCCTTAAGAGTACAACAACAATAACCTCCTCGTAGGTGCTCTGGTATATCTGAGGAACCTTCAACTGCTCAAAAACATTTCCATTACTATATCAATGCTACTTTTAAAAATTTTTTTCTTTGTTTACTACTGGTAAGAACAGAAAGTCAATGATTTGGTTGCATGTCGTTTGAATCTCGGACATCATAGATGAATGGTCATTATGTTGTAGGATTTTGAGCTCACTTCAAATGGCAGTGTCATCATCCTTGACTGGTTTACAGCTGGGCGTGTGGCACTTGGAGAAGTCTGGGATATGACTAGGTAATTACTCATTATTTTATAAATTGTAAGTAGGAGCAGGAATGGCACAGTGGTGATTGAGGGCATTTACCTCCCCACTGCTGTGGCCTGGATTTGATTCCTGGACCTGGGACCACATGAAGGTTGAGTTTGTCATTGCTTTTTGTCCTTGCTCAGAGGGCTCATCTCCAGGTCCTTCAGTTTTTCTCTCTTCAAGGAAAGCCTCATTCCAAATTCCAATTCGACCTAGAAACAGTGGACAAGAAAAGCCACCTAGTGGAAATGTCCACTTCTAAATTCCCATTCCCATTAAGTAGTAGTATAATCACACATGTAAGGATATTTTTTATTTACACAATTTAATCTCAAACTTATTGTTACATATTTTCTGTCTGAACATATAGTTACAAAAGTCATAACAGAGTCTTTGTGGATGGAAAGCAAGTGTATGGAGATTCAATCTTTCTTAGCAATGAGAACAGCTTTCTTTCACTAAAAGAATCCATGTGTGGTGTGATGGTAACTAAAAGACACTTGATATTTTTAATAACCTTCAGTTATTTGAATAAACATTCTTGGATTGGCATCACCTTACAGTTTTGTAAATGTCTTTCAGGTTTTGGGAACCTGTGTTTTTATTGGTCCATATTTTAAAGAAATCAAGAAAAAAATTAAGGAGAGAGTCTCTGTTCTCACAAGTAAGACACATTCTTATCTCCACAATCAAATAATATATGAAATTATAAGATACAGTCAGACTGATTGTGCTTTTGATTGCCAAAGAGTAAACTGACCTGGCCTAACATTCTACTTTGGATGTACCATCATAAATAGGTGGCTTTCCTTGGACACCATAAAGGCTTGGTTCTCTTTCTTTCATCCCTTAGCAACCTCTTTAACCCTCTCACTGCCAAGATTGCATTAGTAATTCTCCTTACTGTCTGCCATACAATTCTCATGATGTTGGTTTGGAGAATTAATTTTGATATTTGATCAACTAACAATCCCCAAATTGATATTTATCCTTACTCTCATCACTTGTCTGGTTGATATTGTATTGATGTTGTAAGGAGAAATTTTCTCTTGATCAATCATGGGAGTGAAAGGGTTAAATACTGAAAAGCTGCACTAAACACATTTGTGACTCAAACAATTTTTTGCACATTAACCAGAGCAGGAGCTGTTTATGAACTGAACACAGTAGGTTCGAGTGCATGAGAGAGTTTAACCAAATTGTTGTCAAACAGTTGGCATCCTGTGATAAATTCTTATTTCATTTGGAGACAATTTTCAAATGGTTGGGTTTCTTTCTGAAATCTCAAAACACAGTAGAGGTAAATGTATATATATTGTCGAAATGGCCAAGATAAATGAATTATGGTTTTTGAAATCTACACTCTAGCACCAATTTCTGAAAGAAAGAGTAAATGTTAATTTTTAATTTTTATTGAACAAATTCGTTTGACTCAATCAACAGAATGTAATGATATGAGTGTCGTCAAGAAAGATTTGATGGCCTTTGCTAGTGTTTTGGATCCTTCACTGTGTGATGGCATTGTTGTCAAACTCATAACCACACAAAGTACAGAAGAGGTAAGTGATGTGATATTTTCAATAATTTTCCTCTTTCGGGTGTTATTAAAGTAACAGATACTCTCTGCAAAAAACTTTAGTAACATGCTGCATATTTTCCATGCTTGGGAATTAAGTGCATAATTTAGTGTGCAATTAGTTTCATGTCATTTCATGTTTTTTTCATTTATATTGCTTACTTGTTCATTTTGTCTTGCTCACTTGCATACTTGTCATGTAGTAACACTATGACACTCTTCAGTTTTTATGTGAAAACATCGTCTCTACTCTACTAGAGGGATTATGCAAAGATGTGCATAAAAGAGGTTGACCTTGCTGTCTCTTATCTCTGTCACTTTTTCAAAGTGACAGAGAGTCAGTGATACGGTTATTTATAGCCTCTGTCATTGTTTCTCTGAGAGGTATAGGCCTAAAACTTGTCATCTCTTTTTTGTTCTTCAGGCCTACAATTTCTTTAGAATGGTTATTCAAGATGTTGTACCAAGACTTGGAGGAGACCCACTCGTGAAATGAAAATATTGTCCATCAGCAAACAATGTTCTTATTATTTAGTACACAAAAATGATAAATGAACAGTTAAGAAGTTTGTAATTAAAGCAGGAAATCAAAACATGCCTGCCACGAAGTTTTTCTTGGACAAATCAAGCTGTACAATCTGAGGAACTCCTTGTTTTAATGTTGTCATAATGATTATTATCATGAACATAAATATTTTTAGTAATATGGAATTAAATAATTTATCTTGACTACTGTATTTCAAAGTTGCTGACCTCAGGTCTCAATAAGAAACCATCACAGTGAACCATTCAGCCTGAAAACCCATTTTTTAATGATGAGCTATTCACATGTACACCAAGATTTGTTTTTATAGTATAATAAAAGGAGGCCTCTGTAATCTTCTACATTAATGTTTCACATTGTCCTTGTAAGCAGCAAGTATGTGATCTGCAATCTCTTTAACGCCAACCAGATGTTTGGCCTGGGAAAATATAGTTGGACCACCTTGGCGCATCATAGCAGATTCTCGTTCCATCACCTAAGAAAAATGTAATTACCTTTGATGAAGCTAAACATGTGATTCCTTACCATAGGTGGCTAAAAATTGTTACTTGAAGGTAAAAGATGCATACTAGTTAGCATAACCTGTGTGCCCCCCCTCCCACAGCTTTAAAAAAAAAAGGGAAGTCCCCATCTTCATTTTTTAAGGTAGGAGGCAGTTGTTTCCTGTATACAGGATAATTTAGCAGAAATCTTGAACTAGTCACTTTGAATAGATATTGAATTTAACTTCAAAGCAACAAAAAAAATCAAGCCCTACCTTAAGATCTGCTCCAACAGCTTCTGCTAAATCAGTTTTGTTGATAACAAGCAAGTCGCTCTGTGTTATGCCTGGACCTCCTTTACGAGGAACTTTGTCTCCCCCTACAAAACATCAAAAAACATCCCTTATACATGATAGCATCATTTTTAAATAATCCATCACTACACCTCTTTTCCCCAAAATATCTTTGCCATCCCCTTTCTTTAGTTACAAAGCATTGGATCATCCATCACTACGCCTCATTTCCATGATATTTCTCTCTCATCTTGGCAATCCTCTTGCTTGCTTTTGTTCAAACTGCATTGAGTTTGTCATGGGTAAGCTAGTTACATGACTTAAAAATATTACAATATAAGGGACCATTCACATGGTTTTCCATGAAAACTGAGCAGGAACAGTCACTGGTAATAAAGAATAAAGAAGGGACTTTGGAAAAAAAATCTGCTCCCTTATTTTATTTGAATTTATTTTGAATTCTAACCTGCAACATCAATGACGTAAATAATGTAATCAGCCAGTTCTCTGCTGTAATTAGCAGCAAGATTGTCTCCACCAGATTCAATTATCACCAGATCTGGTTGGAATGTTTTGGTCAAGTCTTTAACCTCCTCCATGTTCAGTGAATAATCCTACCAAGTGTGTTGATATCTTACGTTAACATTATTAAGACCTTGATTTTCTTGAGTGGTATATTTGAATAGCCAGAAAT